ATGTCCGGGAAAAAGAGGACGTATGGTAACCCTACTGGAGCTCCGGTGGCTGGCGGCACTATAGCCATGCTGCCCAGCTGGAGCCGGACCACGCCACCGCCACCACGCAGCACAGAGACCGGGTCAGACCGGGCTCTGCAGCTGCGCTGCCCCAGGAGCTCACAGCCCTGCCGCCCAGAGCATTGCGCCAGCGGCAGAGCAAGCAAGCTGAGGTTGCAGGGGAGGAGGGACAGCAGGGGAGGGGTCAGGGCGCAAGCCACCCAGGCCAAGAGCTCGGGGGCCAGGCAGAATGGTCCCGCGGGCCGGATGTGGCCTGGGGGCCGTAGTTTGCCCACCTCTGGTCTAAGATGAACAGGAACAAACGCAACTGTTCAGGAGAACTGCCCTTAGTGCCAGGGAGAATTCAACAGACCCAGCCCTGCAGTCTTGATTCAGACAAAGCTCCAACTGACTGAGTAAGCAGTTCTGCCCGAGATAGGATTAGGTCTCTATCCAACTGGTTTATAGCTTTTGATTCGGGATTTCTTTTCTGCATACAGACAATAGCACTTTGTCAGTAATGAAACTGACTGAGATCTGCGACAGCTTTTCTCTGTTAGACCCACTTTAACAAAAAGAGCTACTGAAGCTTCATTCACCAGTTAGTAAAAGAAATAGCGCAGCTGGAAGGGATCACAGTCATCTCCACTCTCCAGTGATAAAACAGACTTGGACAAAAAATCATCAGCTTTTCACAGAGAGGAGCCCTATCATAAACGCAGCCCTGGTCCCCACCTACACCCTGAGGGGGGCGCAGGTCACTAGCTGACCTGAGAGCTGGCTCTGGAGGTCAAAACTGGCCCAGAGAGCTGGAACAAACCCCAGATCTGAACAGTGGATCTGGAGCCAAAGGTGGTACCTCTGGGGTTTCCATCCTCACAGGATTGGACAATCCTCCGAAACGCAGTACTACAGAGCCACCCCCTCTTTTGGATCACTGATCATTCCCAGCATCAAACTCAAATCACACGTTGCCCTTTGTTTGACTCAGGCCTCTGGTTCCAGCCAGGAAATGCCAAAAAGAAGAACAGAGGCTGCTCTGGCCATATTGCCGCCTGATCCCACAAGCTCTCCAGCGCAATCTGATCGGTTGTAAAGGTCTGGGTCAGCTGGAGACGAGGGACTGCACAGGGACCCAGGCTGACACTCAGACGCTTCCTGCCCAGCTGTGATACTGACTGACGTTACGTAAATCACTGAAGCTACCTTGTGACTTGGAGGGCACATCTGTGCTTTGGGATAAGAGGCAGTACGAACGCCCCTGCACGCGCTACTAGATCAGCTACCCAGACCCAGGAGCAAGTAGATGGTGAATGGAGTGAGTTTTGGCTCCACCCATAAAGCGCCGACCACACAGCTGTGCTGGTGCAGGGGGTGTCAGAATTGGCGGCTGGTTTGTGTCAGCAGCACATTGTTAGACCCCCAAAGCTAGAAGGAAGCAGAGGGAATTATGCCTCAGTGGTGTGGCTGCCTCCTAGGAAGGTGCAGCCCTGCCTCAGGACCCTGCCAAAAGGCACAATCCAGCCCTTAGCCGCTCTGGGCTTCAGTTTCCACATCTATAACAAGATGCTACTGATGCCTGAGTAAAGCACTGTGAGATCTCTGGCCGAGAAGCGTTAAGTACTGCGTTTCGGAGGAGTATCCATACTCTGGGGTGCTAATCCGAAGCAAAGCTCTGATCTTTTGGACGTTCATTCATCCTGTCAACTCTGCAGAGGCCAGAACCCAAACACTAGATTTGGGCGCTGATTGGAGCTGGGGATATTCAGGTCTAGGCTTTGGTTCAGCCTCATTTCTATTGCTGATGAGGATCTTTGACCAGATGATCAGAACCACAAAATCAAAGCTGAGCGGCTGACAAAGAAACAAACAGGCTAATCAGATCAGAGGCACCCACACCTCAGAACGTCTAAGCGAACGGAAGCCATTGTGCTCTCTAGCTCAGCCGGTTTGTTTATGTGGTTTAAATAAGCCACTCCCAAGAAACAAACAAGGAGATCGATAGAACATCCTGTTCAAAACTCAGCAGAGCTCTATACAAATTGTTCAGAGGACAGTGGTTCTGGGCGAGGCCTGCTCTAGTGAAGCAAAAAATGGGCTCTGCGTGCCCTCAGCATTCACAAAGGGCACAGGAACTGAGAGCATTGGAGAATTGGGCCTCAGAGACACAATGGTTTGCTAGGAATACTATTCACAAGGGGAACATTTGCGGGTAGTCCATTTTCAGTCCGATGCTCTCATCAGACAAAGACATTAAATGGGACATTTAAGTTGAACAAACGCACTTCTGAACCCCTTCTTGCCTGGACTAGGATCAGTATTGCCATGCCCAACCATTCAAAAAGCTTGAGTCAGGATTCAAAAAAATCCTGACGTTTGGCTTCAAAACCCTGAGAGTTTTTAAAAGTAATAAAGTTGGGGGTGGGGGTTCCTTTGCTTTCTGGTTGGCACACTCGGATCACCTTTCCAAGCTCTGCCCTGCAACGACGAGGGCTCAGAAACGTACTCTTTATTAATGAAAGTCTCGTGTAACCAAGTAACTCCAGGAGCTGGGAGAGACTGTGAAAAAAACACTACAAGGTCGCAAGCCTTGCAGCAAAACTGTGAGCTGACATGAATGTAAAATAGATGTAAATAAATAATTGACATGCTCTACGAGGAGATTTTCAGAGACACAATTCCTACCTCTTATTCACTCCTAATGGGAACTGAGAGCCTAAGCTGATGACTCCTACATGAACTCATAAGGAAGCATTGATTTCACACAACTGTCCACAGAGACATGTCATCCAGCTCCTTCCCAGATGGGGGTGCAGGAGGAACAGTGAGGGATGTGTCTGCTCCAGAAAGCTCAGCCTGGATCTACAACCCTTTGATCTAAGAACCACTCCCTGCGATGTTTTGATTGGGCATCACAATGACAGGGTTAAAGGTCAATCTCTTCATAGCTTGTTTATGGAGAGCAGCTTCCTGGATGTCACAAGACAGGACAGCCCTAACAATTAAGGTCTAATCTCCGGCATTTGGTCCATTTAGATTTTGTGGGAAGGCAGGACAGTTACTGACTGTTCCAGGGCGGATTTGATAGCATTAGCCCCAAGACTGTGCTTTTGTCATTAGGGGATTTGCATGTGCAAAGCAACAGCTCAACATTGTACCCTATGGCCCCTACCTGGTAACAGTCAGAAATCCCAAGCATTCCCAGCTCCCACTGAATCTGTTCCCTGATTTGGGACTTGTTCCTGCAAGGTGATATGCACTCCTGTGGGGTGAGAATATCCCACTGATTTCAATGGCAGCTGAGGGCATGCAGGCTCAGATCCGCAGAGGTATTTAAGTGCTGATGGGAGTTAGGTGCCCAAATACCTTTGAGGATCGGGGCCTCAGGGCCATGCAGGTCAGAGCCCTTGATGTAACTTGTATCAGGTTTCCAGCTCAAATAGTGACAATAACAAATTTGGGATTCCCATCCCATTTCGCAACATTCACTTAAAAGTCCCTGTTTCTGTAAACATTCCTGCCAGTAAACTCCCTAAAGTCAACAGGAGCCGTAGGTGCGCAGCAGCTCTGTGATGGTATATGCACAGGGCAGAATTTGGTGAGGAAGTTACTGACATGGTTCTAAACCCACAGGCATGTGACTGAAAGGAAACGGACAAGAACCTTTGGAGCGGGGCCACGTTTAACTAACTGAAATCTAAACCAGGAAGGAAGGAAAGGAGGAAAAGGGAAACACCGCTAGCCCTGGAGAAAATGTGGCTGGTGTTTACATGCACTTGGCTTTGATTCCACACAATAACGTAGTCTGTGTGTGTGTGTTGTGAGCGGCATCTTTCCCTGTCAGGAATGCGTATGTTGATTTGACAGCTATTTACTGCCTGGATTAGTCTTGCAGGAGAGGAATCTAAGGGTACATCTACACTACAGGGGGGAGTCGATTTAAGATACGCAAATTCAGCTATGTGAATAGCGTAGCTGAATTCGACGTATCGCAGCCGACTTACCCCGTTGTGAGGACGGCGGCAAAATCGACTTCTGCGGCTTCCCGTCGACGGCGCTTACTACCACCTCCGCTGGTGGAGTAAGAGCGCTGATTCGGGGATCGATTGTCGCGTCCCGATGGGACGCGATAAATCGATCCCCGAGAGGTCGATTTCTACCCGCCGATTCAGGCGGGTAGTATAGACCTAGCCTAAGTTATTTCTTGCTCTAGGTATTTAAATGGCCCTCCTCAGTGCAGTATCAGAAAGCCTCACTGTTACTAATGAACCAGCCTGTGAGGAGGGAAGTATTATCTCCATTTTGCTGATGGGGAACTGCATGTAGGAGAGAATAAGGGACTCACCCAAGGTCACAGAGGAAGTCTGTGGCAGAGCAGGGATTGAACCCGGCTCTCCAGGGTCACAGTCTGTAACCACAAGACCTTTCATCCTTCCTCCTAGACCAGTGGTTCTCAAACTTTTGTACTGGTGACCCCTTTCACATACCACGCCTCTAAGTGCGACCCCCCTTATAAATGAAAAACACATTTTAATATATTTAACACCATTATAAATGCTGGAGGCAAAGCGGGGTTTGGGGTGGAGGCTGACAGCTCATGACCCCCCCCATGTAATAACCTTGCAACCCCCTCAAGGGTCCTGACCCCCAGTTTGAGAACCCCTGTCTTAGACGTCCATGATATATGTGAATTTAGCACTGGTGAAAGGTGCCAGTTTGAATTAATCCTGTATTTATCCACAGGACAGATACGAAGTTTCCCCACCCTGTCCCATCAAAGAGTGTAAGCCCCATGCTATGAGGAGGATGGCTCGATCCGTACGGCCCACTGAGTGGATGACACCATTCCCACCAGACCCATGTACAAAGCGGACCCTCTGTGGACAGATCCCAGCAGACAAGTCCAGGGGCAAGGGAAAGGGTGGCACAGCCAGTGCAGAGGCATACGACTGTGGCCTCTCATGAATCCTCTCCAGGCTCGAGAGCAGGCCCCACAGTAGCTTCCCTGGCAAAGGACAGGCCGATCCCTCCAGAGGAAATTTCTTTCCTTCTGAAAGGCTACTGAGGCCTGAGCCCAATGGAACCAAATCCATGCCGTTATCCTGTTTTTGCACCAGTGTTAATGAGCTACGGCTCTGGCTCACTGTCCATACCCAGGAGCAGAGGTATGGAAGCAGCTCCAGATCTGAGCCTGTTACTCAGTACCATGAGCTGTTCTACCTGCCGGTGGGCACATCAGGGTGGGTTAGGGGAGGCCACGTTGAGCTGCACTTTGGAGGGTGTCATCACACGCCAGCATGTTAGGGTGTGAATTACATTCCATTACTTGTGTACAGAGTGAAACCATGCCAGCATGGCCGTGGGATGCTCTGATGGAGCGGGAAGCCAAGGTGTGATGCAGAAATCCCTCTTACCGTTGTTTTCAATGACTTTGGTTTGTTTCTTGCCATTGTCCCGCTGGACCCCATGGATCTCGACCGTCACCCTTGGATCGACGATGGAGTTTTTGCTTTTGTTCACCTTGGGCAGCTGCTGGCCGGAGATGATCTGCAGAGGAAGCAGAAGGGACAGTAGCACACGTTCAGAATGAGGCTTGATTTGCGAAACTATTGTCTCTTTTCTCAAGGCAATATCCCTTGGGAATACAGCAAGTATAGCAAGTCAGACCACCGTTCTCGCAAAACTTGCATCCTGACTCCAGCACCTGATGCTTCGGGAAAAGGTGTGAAAAGGCCACAGTGTTCTTGGTCAACTGTGCAACGCTCCACCAGCCATGGCAAGGGGCAGGGAGACGGAATTCCTAATGGACCCCTGCTGATGAGCGAATTATACCCTGAACCAACACTGAAGGATGTTTACCAAATAAATGCTTGTAGCCATAACAATAAATAATGACCTATGAGCCTTGACTACTGTTTTATGCTTTTCACACATTTTATACTAAACCAAGAAGGTGAAGTCATGAAAAGAGAGTGCTTTCTGTGAGCTGGGCTCTGCCACCCCAACGCATTAGTATGATCATTTATTATTTGAACTGTGATAGTCTTAGCAGCTGCAGTCACGGATCAGGACCCCACTGTGCTAGGCACCGTTCAAACACAGACCAAGACAGCCCCTACCCCACAGACCTGATAGTACCATAGGCCCCGATCCTACCAAGATTTACATATCTCCGTCACTTTATGAACATGAATAATCCCATTGACTACTCTGTGCATCAAGTTAAGCATGTGCGTGAGTCTTTGCTGAACTGGGGCCTTACTTTGTGACTAGTCCCTTTGACTTTGAAAGGAATTCTCACAGAGGCCTCGATTCAGACTGAAGTCAATGGGACTCATGCACATGATTGATTGCTTCGATGACTAGAGCTGGACTTAAGCAGGAGTTTCAATCTTGGTGAATTGGGGCCGTGAAGGTACTGCTCAGTGTGGGTAGAGGTGGCAGAATTTAGATCTGTAGAAGCACACAAAGTTGGCGGTGCTGTTACAATTTTCCTATTCCAATTCTTACTTTAATCTGAAGTTTCTTCCGCATCCACCAGGCTCCTTCTGTGATGGATTTTGGATTGAATTTGGATTGCTTGTCCCGAAGGAAGCGTGGCTTTAGGACATATCCAGAAAACCCATTGTCCTGGAATCGACCCTGGTAAACATCCATTTCTGGGCCTGGCGTCTGGAAATTCAAGGCAACTGGAACAAAAAAAAATAAAATTCACCTTCCTATAAGCCAGCACCTGGTTTTATAGTGATTTTTCACAGAATACAGCTACCTTCAGACATATAAAGATTTGCCTTCGTGATCTGCAGCACAATAGTGATAAACTTTGCTTCCTAGAGCACTTTTCACCTGAAGATTTCACAGATTTTAAAGGGACCATCCTGACCATCTAGTCTGACCTCCTGCATAACACAGAGTTTCACCCAGTGATTCCTGAACCGAGACTACACCGTCAGGTTGAAATGGAGTGTATCTTTTAGAAAGACATTCAATACTGGTTAAAGGACTTCCAGTGCTGAAGAACCCACCACATCCATAGGTAAGTTGTTTCAATGGTGAATTAACTCACTGAAAACTGCACTTTTCTTCCAGTCTGAATTTATCCAGCTTCAGTTTCCAGCCATCGGAGATTTTTAGGCTTTTGTCTGCTAGATTAAGAAGCTCTCTATTTTCAGAAATCTCCATGTAGTTACTTAGACCCAGATCTTCAAAGGTATTTAGACACCTACATACCTCTGGGGATCTGAGCCCTTTAGACTGATCAAATCACCTCTCAACCTTCTCTTGGCTAGACTAACTAGACTGAACTTATTTACTCTCTCACTATATGGCATGTTTTCCAGGCCTTGAATCATTCCGAGCCCCTCTCCAGGTTATCAACACCTTTTTCGAAGTGTGTACACCAGAACTGGACACTGTATCCAGTAGTGGTCTCACAAGTGCCGCATACAGAGGTAATACCACTTGTCTGCTTCTACTCGATATTCCTCTGCTCATGTTCAGCTGGGTTTCCACCATGACCACTAAGTCCTAAGTGCCCTACAAAAATTAAAGACAAAAATGATCCTCTCATTCACACCTCTATTTTTTCACCAATAAATAAAACACAAATAAATGCAACATAATCTGCCCATTTACTCGGGTGCCCAAATATGGACATAGGTGCCTAATTTTCAGCACCCATGTTTAACAATGTTGGTCTCAGTGAATTCGCCAAGGTCACAGCGGCAGTCGGGAATAGAACCCAGGATACCAGACCTTCAAGTGCATTCGCTAACCATTGGACCATTTCCCCCCCTATGGGGGTATGGAATGGGCAAAAATACTTTATTTCATGAGTAGCTTCATGGAGCCCTTGTTTTCGAAATTTGTTTTTGAAACATTCATATCTCCTCAAAGTTTCAGTGTTCCAGGAATTTTAAAAGATTGCTACTTTGTGTTAGATCTGTTACTTTTGGACCCAGGAACTCGTCAGCTAAGGCACACACAGCAGGCTAAGTAACTGGCTTGCTTATTTAGCTGCTGTTGCTTCTTACTCTGCCACACTATATTCCTCCACTACTACGGGTCCTGATACATACTGGTGCCCTCTAGTGCAGTGTTTCTCAACCTTTTTGATATCAGGGACCGGCTTGCTGCCTTCCTAAACTGTGTCAGGGAGATCTCAGGAACCAATGCCAATCCAGGAACCGGTTGTTGAGAAATACTGTTCTAGTGGTTAGGCATGGAACACACACAATTACATTACCGACATTACGCTTTGAATACAGGAAGCAGCTGCAGAAAATGAGGAAGTATGGAGCTTCATAGTTACAGCACTGCACTGGGACTCAGGAGGTCTGAATTCATTCCTGGCTAGCCACAGGTTTTCTGTCTGACCTGGGGCATGTATCTTCTGTCTCTACGTTCCCCATTTGTTAAACACGAATACCAAGAGTTCACTATCTCACAGAAAACAAACAACTCATGACAGATGTTAATCATGTTGTTTAATGCATTGTTAGAATGTGCTAGAATGAGACACTACAGCGATAAGCACAGTATAAGAACCTGCATAGCATAGCGTAGCGTGTTGTGAGCAAACATTCATTAACGTGTGTGATGTGCTCTGTTGAAAATAGTGATGAGTTACCACAGACCGGGTCTATAAATAATCTTCCCCATCAGTGTGCTGAATTACAGGGTTGATTGGTCTCCATGCCCAATCAGTGTTTAGCCTCTCTTCAGGGACTGAGGCCACACACAGGTCTGTCAGATACTAACAACATTTAGGTCCCTGTTGATCTGGGTCCGGTTTGCAACCTGGTAGCTTTCAATTGCACTTACTGATCTGACAGCCAACGTTCCACAAGTCAACTGGGTTATAGTTGGAAGAATCTGTCCTCCAGCCAGCAGGATAGACCCGGCTCAAATGCCTGACGTTGTGATGAATAAAACTGGTTCCTAGAGAAACAGATACAAACACCCTTTTGAGTGATTTGTGCTATTGCTATTCCTCTTTAATGTTATGCAGCTCCTTTACCTGTCTACTTAGCCTGTGCTTTAACTTTGCATATAACTCTTCTGTGACATACCAGGGTACAAGCCAGACTAATGAGCAGCTGTGTCACCCCACCCCGTAACCTGGGGTGCCCTTTACAATGCCTCGCTGCTGTAGTCCCCAACCCGGACTGCTCGCAAACAGCCTCCAGCATGTAAATCACTCCCAGTTACATCTGTGTGTGTGTTGCAGCCAGTCATACATTGGCTCTTACCAGCCTGATTATATTGCAGGGTGACCCCAACACACCCCCAGGCCTGGATTTCCCCCCAGAAATGTATGTCCTGTGCTGCCCAGCTCTCGCCTGGACAGTACAAATATGCTGAGTCCATTATTCCTTTAAGGGAATAATATGCACACAACTTGTTACTCCAAATGGAGTTACCCAGACACTTCCACTTGAACGCACTGGATTAGATCAAACAATAAAACAAGTTTATTAACGATAACAAGATATGATTTTAAGTGAGTACAAGTAATGAGGCATACAAGTCAGAAATGGTTCCAAGAAAAATAAAGATAAAACACTTCCTGGTGCCTAACTTAACATATTCTATTAGATTCAAAGCAGAGTTTTCTCACCACGTGTTTTAGCAGCAGTCTTACCGACCAAACTCTTTAGCTCAGGACCCCTCCCCCAGAGTCCCATGGTGGCTTCCTTTGTCTCTTCAGGTGCAGTGAATGGGATGGGCAGGGAGTGAAAGAGAGAGGGGGGTGCCTGGGGGTGTTCGTCCCTCCTTTTTATAATTTCAGTCCCTCTCTTGAAAAGCATTGCCAGCTGAGACCCAGGAAACACAGAGCCTATGTGGAAGGATATTCCCTGCTGGGTTTTTTTACCTGTTTGAACTTCCTTTGCTGTCCCTCCCTGCTTGATGACTCAATTTACTGCTTAAATACATATTAAGACAAGCCCACATTCCTTTGTTTAGGACAGACCTGACTTCTGCCTGGGCAGGGCTGTGGGCTTTGGAACGTGTGTTAATAACATCATACAGGGGAATCTTGTAACTTCTCAATGTTCTCAATGTTGCCAAACATATTTTACCAGGGCAATACTGACCAGCGAATTATGAGTTTTTAAATGATTCCTCACACGGCACACCTTGTACAAACGTTATTACAATGGTGTATAGAGTGTGAACACAGGAGTATATTCTATCACAACTTCTTTCCCTTTATCAGACATACTGTCACTAAATCACTTCCACTGCTTCTTTTGGTGACATGCCCAGCCAAAGAGACCAAATCTTTTAGGTGCCTCCTCATCCACATTTGATCACTAATCTGGTGGTGATCACGCCAAAGTGGACTCTCATTCACTAAGTAACTTGAATCCCCGCCCAAACCTGCAGTCACTTTGCATACAGTTCCCATCCTGAGTCACCACTGCTGGGAACTAGAGCAGAGCAAGTATTCGAATTTTTCAGTGAAGTGGTTCTGCCTTGTGAATACTAAAGCAGATGAGTATACTGGCAGGAATGTTGACTGAAACAGTTAATGTGACATGGATAATGCAGAACATTCACAGAAAGCAGAATTCAAAGAGCAGCTATTCACACAAGAAACTTGATTCTGAGAGTTAAACTCATCCAATCAGGCAACAGAAACAGACCCTGTGACTTAAGTGTCCATTCAAAACAGCTTGAACAACATAGAATCATAGAACAGAATCACAGAATATCAGGGTTGGAAGGGACCTCAGAAGTTCATCTAGTCCAACCCCCTGCTCAAAGCAGGACCAATCCCCAACTAAATCATCCCAGCCAGGGCTTTGTCAAGCCTGACCGTAAAAACCGCTAAGGAAAGAGATTCCACCACCTCCATATGCCAGACACCATTTCTGCTCCCGCATTAATATCAAGGGATATTAATGGAGCAGGAAGTTCTATAGTTCAGTGCAAGAAGATATTATAATAAATCTGTGGCCAACCCGAAGCTTCTTGGGTGTTACTGCGTTGTACACAATGGCCACTATGCTGTACGCTCAGTATTTCACCATGACAAAGGGACAGAACCAAGAGTCTCCTACTCTAAAGGAACAGGCCCTTTCTGCTTCAGCTAAATGGGACTCTCCGTTGGGTGCATGCAGTATAGGGCCTATGAAACCCAGCTATGAGACATAGCTGAAATAATTCTGTCCAGCAGACTGCAGTGGTGTACATACATTACACTCACACACACAAAATTCACCACATTACAATATCTATTTAAGATTTTTACTACCATGCTTAAGGAGTGTAAAATGCTGCTCTTGCTAAAATACCCTCAAGATATCAGTTGTGGATTACAAAAGAGATCCATGAGATAGCACTGAAAGCAGTACAAATACTTAATGGTGGGGTAGGGCGGGAAGTTGCCATTTATATGTAGAGCGACAATGCTAAGTTGTTTTTAGATTCTAAGGCGCTACCAATCATGTAGGAGGGGACGCTCTTTTTCTGGCCATCTTGCCTTTAAAAGCGAATCTTCACATGGAAATACTAGAGAAGGAAGCGAGCACTGAATGTGTGGGTTCACGAACAAGGGGACTGACAAGGAGGGGACTAGCAAAGCCTGTTGACAAGGCTGGAGGCACGTACCTGACTCCTGCGCCAGTTTCTGGGCTTTGCTCTCAGTGAAGGACGACATCTCGTAGAAGGCGCGGGGGGAGATGGTGTTGTCGAAGCCCTGGAAGTGGACGCTCTTGCAGTAGATGACGATGTCTGATAACTCCTTGGCCAGCTTTAATTTGACGCTCTGGAGACAAGAAAGCAACAGGTTTGGCCTTTCTTCCACACATGCCCTCCCAACTGCGCAGTGTACTCACCAGGGAAGGACACTAGGGCCTCATTCCTGTCTCCTTCACAGAGGGATCCCCCAGTTTTTAACACCCAGAACCTTTAATGCAACTGGACTGTACCCGGCTTCCCTTCCTCTCTCAGAACAGGTTGCTTTCAACGCTGACCACATGAACAGGCTGATTCCTGGTTGCACATTTGGTCTAGGCAAACCCCACTCCAGTTAAGAAAAAACTCAGGATGGCGGTGGGGTTGGTGTTTGCATGCTGTTACCCAGCTCACTCTTCTGGCCATAGGCGCCAACTTTTCCCGGCGTCAGAGGGTGCTCGCGCCCCCGGCCCCGCTCCTGCCCCGCCTCCATTCCAACCCCTTCGCCAAAGTCCCCGCCCCAACTCTGCCCCCTCCCTGACCCTATTGGACTCCTTCCCCAAATCCCCACCCCGGCACCGCCTCTTCTCCGAGCGCGCCGCGTTCTCCCTCCTTCCCCCTCCCTCCCAGCACTTGCCACTGTGAAACAGCTGTTTCATGGCGGCAAGCACTGGGAGCTAGGGGGAGAAGCGGGGACACGGTGCGCTCAGGGGAGGAGGCGGAGGTGAGCCGGGGCAGGAGCACCCACAGAGTCGGCGCCTATGCTTCTGGCTCGCAGGCTGATAGTGGTGGGAGGTCTGGGAAAGGTCTGGGCTGTGCATGTGAGCTCTAACTGGGTTTCATGCAGCAGCTGCCTTGCTGGCCAAGTCCCATTGTTGCTCGGTGTCACAGCATGATGGACCCCCCCACATTGTGCAGGCGGAAAGCTCTGCGTACGGCTTTCTGCAGCGTGGGACCAACCTCGTTTTGTTTGCACTCCCGGCCACAGCCCTCGATTCCAGCACTCAGACTTTTCAATTGAGTCTCAGCAATTGATTGTCTCAGGGCCAGCCGTGCAAACCGGAAGGTCTAGCCTGGCTGGGAAGAAGGGAACAGAGAGGGCAGGATTTCTGGCTCCACAAAGCTTGGAGCTCTTCGTTCTGGGATAGACAGGTTCTGATTTGGTCATGTGATGCTTTGGCCCCTGTTGCTGCCACAGCCACCTTAATTACTTCCGGGATTTAACAGGAGCAGGCAGCTCCCATGAGGGAAAGAAGCAGGAAAGAAAAATAACCAACGTCCAAGGAAACACCTGCTTGATTCCAGATTAGACATGAAATATAAACCTCTGGAAACTAGGGAAAACACATGATGGACCAGATCCACAGTGGGTGTTCATCATTGACTTCACTGTTATACAGCCATAGTGAATCTGGCCCATAGTGCATAGGGACATTCACACACACCTGGAGGCTGGGAAAGATCAGTGGTCTAAGATAAAGGGCCAAATTCTGCACCTGGATGCTTCAATGAGTTATGCGCATGTGTCTACGGGCAGCGCTTTCAAAAGCTATGTTTGAGTCTAGGGAAGGACCAAGATTCTTGAAGTTTGACCCTGCCTTGCCTGAGCAGATCAAGCCATGCCCCTTGGTGTAAATCAGGAGAGCTCCACTGAAGCGACACTAATTCATACCTGGTCCCATATTAGAAAGTGGGTTTGTTGGACCTACACTATGTTCAAAGCCCCATGTAGACGGGTCTAGTTTTTACAGCCCCATGATGGGTGCAATGGGATAAAGTGCTAATGTAATTTATTCACCTTTAATTTGGGTTATTGCTGATTATGCACTATATGTATCTTATGTCTTTTTAAAAAGACTTGGGGAGGTGGGAATGGCTATTGAACGGGAATTGATCATTGCCTTGTTGTGGGTCCCACCATGCCAGAACCAGTCACTGGAGGAAACTTTAGGAATAGACATGTGAGGGGAGGGAGAGCTCAGTGGTTTGAGCATTGGCCTGCTAAACCTAGAGTTGTGAGCTCAGTCCTTGAGGGGGCTATTTAGGGATCTGGGGCAAAAATCTGTCTGGGGATTGGTCCTGTTTTGAGCAGGGGGTTGGACTAGATGACCTCCTGAGGTCCCTTCCAACCCTGATATTCTATGATTCTATGAAAACAAACTTTGTATTGTGGATAATCTAAGCACTATACCCAGATGTACAGACACTCTTTTCTCAACCTGTGTATTATATAATTTTAACATTAGCTTTAATAAAATGTCAAGGCCTTCTGCGGGCTGGACAGCCAGGATCTAGCTTATGCCCTTTCCCTCTCCACATAATTCTTCCCATTCAGTGATCCGGTCAGGGCTTTGACTTACCGTCCTCTTCTGCTCTACCTCCTTCTTCACAGACTCATCTTCCATTTCGGCTGCTTCATCCTCATCGGAGACATCTTCAGCCTCTATGCCACTGTTCCCGTTCATCCCTATGGTTTCCTCCAGGCTGTTCAACTTCTTTCCCTTCACAAGGATCTTTCCCTTTAATTGCTGCAAAAGGAGTTGTGGCAAAAACGGGTGTAAATCAGAGCAGAATCTGGCCTGATCTGTAATAAATCAGAGAAGGATGCTCGGCAGGACCAGGGCCCATTTGAGCTTCACCAGTCACTGGTTATTAGCCAAAGGAATCCAGTTAATGGACAAAGCCATCAGCCCACCAAGGCTGTACCCTACACCCTGAAGTAGCCAATGCCTGAGATTTCAAAGAATGGCAACCACCTCCCAGCCCATCTGCAGAAACCGATGATCAGAAAAAGCTCCTGTCTGAATGCCCCAGGTAATCAGCATGCTCTCTGAAACATGCAGTGTGATCCACCTTAAATTACCAGACATAACTACGAGTCCTATTAAAGGCTACAAAATTATCCAACTCTTTTTGAATATCTATCATCGCCCAATGGTCACAGAACAAGACTGGGAGTTAGGACAAATGGGATGTATTCCTGGCTCTGTTACCGCCTCGCGGGGTGACCTTATGCAAGTCACTTAACCTCCTTCTGCCTCTGTTTCCTCATCTGTAAAATGTGGATAGGGAAACTTACACAGTTTTGTAAACTGCTTGAGAGCCATGGTTGAAAAGGGCTATATGCCAATAAGTGACAGCACCTATTTGACCAAAGGATTCCACATGATCACGATGCACCACTCAGTATGTTGGACAATGGTCAGGGCCAGCTTGGAAGATATTCTGTGCTCAAACTCAAGGAGCGCTCTGGGTTTTTAGCACATCTCACAGACAGACTCTTTATAAGCAAAACAAAAAGATTAGGTGCCAGATCCCCCACTGGAGCAGATCAGTATCCTCCAATACAGCAATGCCAATTTGCACCAGCTGAGGAGCTGGCCCAAGACATTAAATTTGTGTATTATATGGCTTATCACAACCCACGAGAAGGTCCCGAGTGACTTGACCATGATCTACAAGTAGCAACATGGGGGAAAGATTTCTGATAGTAGAGGGCACTTTAGGGTCGGAAGCTGAAGCTAGATATATTTAGACGAGAAACAAGTGGCAAACATTTAACAGTGAGGGTAATGAACCATTGGAACTATTTACTTAGGGATGTGGTGGAATCTCCATCACTTGCCATCTTAAAACCAAGACTGGACATCTTTTTAGAAGTTCTGTTATGGCTCAAACAGACGCTATGGGCCTGATGCCGGGATCACTGGGTGACATTCTCTGGCCTGTATTACACTGGAGGGCAGGCTAGATGACCAGCATGGTCCCTTCTGGCCTTACAATGTATGAACTCCACTAGCATCCTCTGCAGCTCGTTACTTTTTCACTCAAGTGGGTTGGGATTTTCAAAAGCACTTAGCACCGGCCCACCTCTGCTCCCAGCGAACACAGTCAGACATGTACCACTGACTCCAGCTTGGGTGCTTAAGTCAGTGCTGAGGGTTAGGAAAATCCTACCCTCAGTGCACAGCACTGTCCTTATCTTCCCAAGGAAAGATGGAATCCACGAATAAACCACTCTGCTCACTTTGGTATGATGCACTCCCCCATTCTTTTATGTCCTGCCGAGCACCCACAGTCTTAAATGTATTTATTCTCTCAACACTCGCCTGAGGCAGGGCAGTGCTCGTAGCCACATTTTATAGCTGGGGAACTAAGGGGCTAAGTGCCTTGCCCAAGGTCACACGGGATGATTGTGGTGGAGCAAAGAATAGAGCGTGGGTTTCTCAAATCCTCAGCTAACGCCCTAACCACTGAACAATCCTTCCTCTAGATTTCTGAGTGCTGTGATGGGAGAGGCAACAGTCATGCTGTTCTTAAATGACAGGGCTGTAGTAAACCAGGGATCTTTTTAAAGCAATCAAACAGTTTTCAAAGAACATTATACTCTCTTTGTGGGTGACGGCGCATTGTACCGTGTCTCAGCAGAGACCAGCCTGACATATCAAGCAGTGATGTTGCAGGAGATTTTGCTGGCCTCACCACCAAGTCTGGCTTGAACTGAAATTTACCATTGAAACCTGATAAAGGAGCCAAGCTTTTTTTTTTCTTAAGACATCACAAATAAGCTGTTTACTTTGGAACAACCCTCCTGGCGCTCAAAGACTGCACAGAAGCTGCCAGCAGGAGGGTACCAATTACCAGGCAACATATGGTAGGAACAGACCTCGCCCGTCCTCATCTGGGTATATTTCACTTGATTTCCTGCCACTGCTAGGGCCTTGGGTATTGGTGCACTCCAGCCCTTCCTATTCTTTGCCTAGGGTATAAACTAGTTGTGTCTCCTTAGGGGTGCAATATTTTGGTCTAATTGCAGTTGTTGGAGTGAGTATGCGGGTGCAGGTGGCCTGTGGTATACAGGAGGTCAGACTAAATGCACTGGAGATCCTTTCATTTCTCTGCATTCATTTCAGGAGCCAGTTGAAATCCGTCCCCCTTTTTTAAACACTCTCCATAGAGCTTCCCTCTCTTTACACCTTCCTTACGCCCTGCAGTATTTTAGCATCCCCCTATTCCTCTGTCCTTTCATAACATCTAGACCCTGCAGGAGAAATTCATCCCCGCACAGAGGCCTATGCACCACTTACATCCCACTCAAGCCTTCAAACAGGGGGATTGTAAGGCCTCATGCTGGCACTCTCCACAAGGGTGAACTTCATCTCACTAGCGCAAGAGCCTTCTCCCATGCAGATTCTGGAGCAGCCTCTACTGTATATAAAAGCTGTGTGTTGCTATTAGTTATTACCTCTCCGCCTCATTGGTATTTTATCTCTGTGACGCTGCCTTTTTATCACAGAGCTCTCTAGGGAAGGGCATTTCAGGCCTCCTGGCCCCAGCCTCATTTCTGGGTCCAGAAGAAAGAAAAAGGATGGTCTTGTGATTAGGGCCATGGCATAAAATGTAGGAGATCTAGATTTAATTCCCAACGACTTTGTGAGAAACCTTAGGCAAATCACTTAATTCCTCAGCTCTCTGCCGGCAAGAAGGGACTAGTAATCTTTCCCCATTTTTTGAGTCTTTGAATCAAGTTTGGATGGTCTTTCTAAAAGATACGCTCTACCTCAAACCGAAGTTATGGGCTGATGCAAGAGTCAATGAAGCTCTCTGGCCTGTGTTATACAGGAGGCCAGACTACTTGATCACAATGGTCCCTTTTTGGCCTATGAATAATGTCTTTCCCCTCCACCCCCCCTTGCCTATACCTCTTGATTTCTCTCTAATTCTGTTGTGACTTGGTATTTATCAGTGAGGGTGAAATTCCCCCTTTGCTGTTGGTAGGTCAGTCTTAAGTCCTATTTTGAGCGCTTAAGTGGCACACTGGTCTTGGTGCTACCCTCTTACACAGAGGTGCGGTTCATCACTGAGCTGTGTGAAGCATTTCAGGCTCCTGTTTCTGTAGAAGATGCTGTACTACAGAGGTCTCCAACCTTGTTACACCCAAAATCACTTTTTGAATTTAAGGGCAATCCAGAATCTACCTTGCCCCATCCCAGAGGCCCCACCCCTTCCCCAAAGCCCTGCCCTACTCACATCCCTCCCCCCCCCCCAGGAGGGGATGAAGGGTGCAGGCTTTGGGAGGGAGTTTGGGTGCAGGAGGGGGCTCCAGGCTTGGGTAGAGTGTTGGGGTGCAGGAGGAGGTGCGGGGTGCTGGCTCTGGGAGGGGGGCAGGGCTGGGGATTGGGGTGCAGGAGGGAGTTTGGGGTGCCGGCTCCAGGAGGGGGCTCAGGGCTGGAGCTTTGAGTGCAGGAGGGGTTTTGGGGTGCAGGAGGGAGTTTGGGGTGCTGGCTCAGGGCCCAGGGGTTGGGGTGCAACCTCCTGCTGAGCAGCACTTACCTCTGGCGACTCCCGGTCAGTGGTGTAGTGTGGCTGCCACTAAGGCAGGCTCCCAGCCTACCTCGGTCCCATGCCGCTCCTGGAAGGGGCCAACACGTCCCTGTGGCCCCTGGGGGGCGGGTGGCACATGGCTCCACACGCTGCCCCTCTCTGCAAGCACCGCCCTGCACAGCTCCCATTGGCCACAGCTCCACGTTCCCAACCAATGGGAGCTGTGGGGGCCGTGCTTGCAGTCAGGAGCAGTGTGAGGAGGGAGACCCCTGTCCCCCACCCCCGGGGCCACGCTGGCTGCTTCCAGGAGCACAGTGGGGCCGGAGCAGGCAGGGAGCCTGTTTTAGCGGCAGCCCCGTTGTGCCGCTAGAGATCACGATCGACTGGGAGATCCTCTAGGATCGACCAGTTGATTGCGATCAACCAGATGGTGACCACTGCTGTACTACAATAAAAGTTGCACTGAACCTAATTTCCATGAGGCATGTCTGCTGAGCATTGACATACTGTCAGTCAGTATGTCTATCTGGAACTAGAGATGCTGACATCCTGATTTTCAGTGGCTTTCCCCCAGGATGAAGTTTAAAAAACTAAACTCTCGTTACGGCAGTCGCGGTTTCCCTCCATGTGATATTAAGTAGTTCCTGCCAAACTACGCCTGAGGGGAAAGAGAATCAACTCATTAGTTCAGCTCTGCTGTGCACGTCCTTTGTGCTATGTAGAAGCCTCAGCGTTCCTGAAATGCCTCAGTAAGTAATGGCAACTGGCAAGACTTGACCACAAAACCCACTTCGTTTACCTGTGGGAAGCACAAGGTCAAATACAACACAATATATCCGAGAGGCAGCAGGATTGGGAGGCCATTTGGGGATTTAGTTGGGGATTGGTCCTGTTCTGAGCAGGGGGTTGGACTAGATGACCTCCTGAGGTCCCTTCCAACCCTGATATTCTAAGAAACTTCTTTCTAAGAAACTCAGGACTAGAAGCCAGGGATAGAGAGTCCAGGCTGCAGAACTAGCCACACCTCTGCCGGCCTTCTGGTCTCTCCGAGTGCAGCCCTGCATGTCTCAGCCCTCGTGCCTTTAGCCTTCCCTAGGGTGGAATCCTGTGATTCTCCTGCTCTCAGACCTCCGTGCTGCAATACCCTGCACAACCACCATGCTGAGTTCAGGCACTGGTGGTTCTACGCTGTGGGAGTCTGACC